CAACTTGGCACCGCTGAAGGGACTGTAGCACCGCCCAAATTTCGACGGAATCAAAGGCTTTCTCATAGTCCACATACGCCAGGCAAAGTGGCAGATTGTACTCTTCGGTCTTCTGTACAATTAATTCTGTAAATCAATCAACACCCACGGGAAGATATGGGGTATATATATATATATATATATATATATATATATATATATATATATATATATTTATAACGTAATTTTAACGTAGATAGAGGCTAAGTCTATGGTTCAGTTTCATTTAATTTTACCATGTTGCCATAGGCTTATTACCGTTATCTTACAGAATTTTCCTCTAAAATCATTTAACTAAGAATATTACATTTATTATGGATGATTGAAAATAAAGTATTTTTGAACACTGTAGCAGATCAATGACAATTTTTTCTTTTTAATGTCATTTAATATTAAGAAAAACTATATCAATATCTTAGTACATTAAGTTAATTTATAATAAAAAGCACTGTGCTCGAAGTTGTTGACGAGTATTTACTTTAGAAAAATTGTCCGACAAGGTAAGTCTTTTAGGTTTTCTTTTAGAATTTTGACAGAGAAATTAATCAATGGATCAAACTCAGTTGGACAGCGTTTAGAAGATTTTGATACATCATCTTGTCGTCGCGTATACCTCAAATCTTGAAAGCAAAATTGTACAACCAGTGCATGTAGCCAGTGGTGACGTCGGTCTTAGATATTTTTTTAAATAGGATAAGGGTCAAACGAGCACACAGTCCACCCAATGGTAAGAGGATGCTGTGGCCCATAGACATCTACATTTAACCTCGAATAAAAATCAAAATACAGATGCGTTGTCACCCTTGAGGACTAAGATGGAATGCCTCGATTCCAGTAAAACGGGTATCTAGTTCTCTACATTCACCATACGAAACACAACAGTATTATCTGCTATTGTACGCTTTCTGTGAGAGCGTGGCCCTTCCCCGGTTGAGCCGACCCTTGTCATGCTACAACCATAATACCTGCAGCCTAGCTCTACCACGTGAAAATTATTAAATAAATAAATTTATTCGCGGCTGACCAAATGAGGAAGCTCAGTCACTTGGCGATCTATTAAGAGGGCTATACAAGAAATTTCTTTGCGTGACAGACTTCGTAATGTACACTCATCAAAATCATATGCACAATAAAATCAGAGTGACCAACATAGGCCAACGGATCAGTCAGCTGAAGTGGTAATGGACTGGCTATTTAGCTCAAAGTACTAACAAACTACGAGGACGTAAGTTTCTCGAGTGGCAGGCTCGTACCGGTAAGCGAAGTGTAGTGCGGGAGGTGGATCGACTTGGTAACAAATGCAGGTGGCAGACCGTGCTTCGAGCATGGATGTAATGATGATAATGATTAATTGCACTTTTAATTACTGATTTACCATGTGCTCGGTGGTGAAGGAAAACATCGTGAAGAAACCTGCATATCTGAGAAATAAGAAAAAAATGAGCGGAGGCTTGTACCCAGGAGTGGGGCGTATGTAGGCTGTAACTTTAATTTTAACTTTTACCTAATAACGGTCATGACGGCGAGTATCAACGGAGACTAGCCATTGGCACAGGACAGGATTATAGTGCCCAAGGGTACGCGCAAGCACCGTGCACTCTGTATTCTCTCACTCTCATAGTCCGATGGGACAGTAAACCGACACCATCGGAGAGAGATTAGGTGCAGGACAAACGACTTTACATGTTTTCCGAGGCACGGGGATGAGACATCACCAAATTTCTGACTCCGGGCAGTTACGAGAATTTCTTGACGGAAAAACTCAATAAATTATTTTTTTAGCACGACCGGGATTCAAGCCCCTGAGATCTTAATCAGCAGTCACCTTTACAACCACTAGATGACTAGAACAACAAGACAGTCAATGATGATGATACCAATTACGTTAATACAAAAATACAAACAAAAAGGCTTCCACCTATTCCTAGGCCCACCCTACACGTGTCCCCCGGGTGGTGCTAAATGAGCGACAAGCCGATAGCACAGACTCGGCTCCACGCCGTGGTAGCGGCGTAAAATATACTACCCCATATTTCCCACCATGAGGAACCAAAGAAAAGAAATGGCCACGAGTTCCCGCCGCCCCTTGAATGGGGCAGGGGTGCGAAGAATCTCCGGGAGGAAAACCGGTAACGAGGTTCGCCACCCGTCACCTTCTGTCTCCCAGAGAGGCGAAAAGTGGATTGCAGAGGCCCGTCTGGCTACGTTGAATGTATGTGGGGCAATGAATGATAAAATGGATGAAGTATGCGATATGATGTATGATAGAGGAATAGATGTATTATGTGTAAATGAGACGAAAAGGAAGGGGAAGGATGTCACTGCACATGGCATGTATACCGCATACTGGTCTGGTGTAGACGAGATCGAGCGGGCATGCCAGGGATTAGGTATCATCCTTTCAGAAAGAATGGGCCAATGTGTGAAAGAGTATGAATGTGTAAGCCCAAGACTGCTATGGATACGAATGAAAGTGGGCTTAAAGAAGTTGTTTGTGTTAGGAGTCTACGCCCCAGACATGTCTAAGCCCACTTATATCCGAGAGCAGTTTTGGGAAATGGTAAGGATGGCGTTAATGAAGTGTAAGGGAAATGAAAATATTATTATGCTAGGAGATTTTAATGGAAGGGTTGGGGTGAGGAGGCTTGGTTATGAAAGTATATTGGGAACGTTTGGTGATGAAAGTATAAATGAGAATGGTGAAAGTCTCCTCACCGTATGTATGGAAAAGAATCTTTTTGTGACAAACACTTGCTTTCGCCACAAGAGGATTCACATGTATACTTGGGAAAGAGGTGACGATAGAAGCATGATAGATTTCATAATTGTGGATGAAAGATTGAGGAGCGCATTGTTAGATACAAGGCGGGTTCTAACAGGAACGGATCATTATTTGGTTTTATGCCGAATTAATGGTCTGTTCAGGCATTGGCGCCATCGATCATCTGTGTCTACCACTGCGTTACAGCGTATTAGAACAGAAAGGTTACAAGATGAAGGTGAGGAAAACAAGTTCAAATGTAGACTGAAAGAAAATATAAGTGGTTTGGATGAATTATGTATGAAGGAGTTAGACTTGGAGAATGTATGGCAAAATGTAAATAAAGGTTTAGTGGATGCAGCTATCGAAGTATGTGGTTTTAGTAAGAGAAAGAATGAAAGGGAAAATAATACGTTATGGTGGGATGATGAGATACGTATAGAAGTTGAAGCATGGCTAGATTTACTAGCAACAAAGGCTGGTAATTCTAGCGGTACGAATGATGATATTGAAAGAAAAAAGGCAGTCTTTAGACATCTAAATAAGAGAGTAAAAGAAGTAGTTGAAAGAAAAAAGCAAGAAAGAACGGATAAGAATGATAGAAGATAGGAGGCGAGAGAGGTGTGTCAGGATCGTGCCAAATGGAAGTCTGTAGTCTCTGCCTACCCCCCTGGGTGACAGGCGTGAGTGTTTATGTATGTATGTACAAACAAAAAAAGTTTGATTGAGCAAGTGGATGAGTTCGTGTATTTGGAATGTGTATTTAGCAGGGACGGTAGATATGATAAGGATATAGAACGATGAGTGAATGCAGGAAATAGAGTGAATGGCGCTCTACACTCTATTATGAAGAATCAGAATGTGTCAAAAAGGCACGTTTGGTAATTCATAATGCTGTGTTAATCCCTACTTTAATGTATGCTAATGAAAGTTGGGTGTGGCAGAAGAAGCACGAAAGTAGAATAAATGTTGTAGAAATGCGGTCATTAAGGAGATATGCTAGGGCTGAATCTGAAGAATAGGGTGAGAAATTGCGTGATAAAAGAAAATTGTGGTGTGCAAGATGATGTTGTGACAAGGATTAAGAAAGAAATGCTTCGGTGGTTTGGTCATATAGAAAGAATAAACGAGGGAAGATTGACAAAGCAAATTTTTATTGCAGATGTAAAGGGCAGAGCTGGGAAGGGACGCCCTAGAAGATGGTTCATCGATCAAATTGGCAATATTTTGAAAATGGGCAACATTAGAAGTACCTTTAACCGACGAGCGTGTATGCGTAGATATATGGATGTAAAGGAAGCGAGAGAGGTATGTCAGAATCGTGCCAAATGGAAGTCCGTAGTTTCTGCCTACCCCTCAGGGTGACAGGCGTGAGTGTTTATATTTTATATTATACACACAAAAACTCATGATATAACTAACTAGAGTTTACTGGTGAATAAACTAAGTATACAATATAATCGGCGCAACTCAATCGGTACTAACCAGAGAAATAACAATTAGTGTTTTTGGTTATTTCTTTTCATTAAATAACACACATTTTACCAGATTCAAAGAAAATAAAAATCTGGTAACTATTATTCCGTTAAAATTATTATATGCCTTTTTATAATTGTCACTCTATGAATAAGACATTCTTTAAAAAAGTATACTCGTTGCATCCGATTCGATTTATTCGCCATACATCGTATAAATTTTTTGAATCGGAATCAGAAATAGCTCCGTAGACTGAGAATGCTATTTTTCTGATTGATTCTCTGTCTACGCTTGCTACTCTCTAGTATATAATCTATGCTTGCTACTTTATTTATCTATGATCGCAATCGCAAATTCATACTCAACTAAACAACATACTCATTTAGCTTGCTACATATTTATCATAGATAAATAAATTAATTATTTATCTATGTACTCATTTCTGCTCATTGCATACTTAAAGTTTTATGTTGTATTTTTAATTTTTTTTTCGTAGGTTGAGCGATAAAGATCTTTATTGATAGTAAGAAGATGTACCCGCATTTCTAATGAAAATATCATTGCAGGATTGCAGGTAAAAAAATGTTTTTTCCGTTTTTCTTTGTCAATAACAACTGCAGTAATAGATAAGATTTGCATTATAAATTGTCTCCAGATCCTGTGCTCTGGTTGGAAGTGTACAAATCCTATTAATATATGCAAAGAAATAGAATATCGAACAAAAATGGCGTTTTCGCTTCGTAAAATGCTTTCAAATATAACTTATTTTAAAAAGCCCGATGGTAGTACAGATAACTCAGAAAATCAAGGATCCAAGAAACGCAGGCACACTTATGTATCCGACGAACCTGTTATGATTAATTTTGAGTGTGCAGAGCCAGATTCGACATCTCGTCAGTGCACCAGTCTAAACATACCAGAATCAGTGAAAAAATTTGCAGCTAAGAAAGCATCCTTTTCTGACACAGATCTCCTTACTTTAAATGTTGATAGCCCTGTTAGGCAGAGACGCAAAAGATGTAAAAAATTGAAATTGGATATAAAAAAAGCCAGTCAATCTATGACTGAACGATTAAATCACTCCCGAGATGGTGATAGTCCAAACATTGAAAATACTCCTAAACATATCCTGTTAGAGTGTGTAAGCTCTGACATATTCAGTGAGAAGTTAAAGGGATTTGATTTCAGTAAATCATTTGATTTCTATGATGGTGCATCTGACGATCAATCATCACCGTTTGAAGAAGAAAACTTTGATATAGAATCTCTATCAGATCATTCGGATAGTGATGTTTCTGTTGCTTCCAACAAAAAGAAGCCAATAAAGATGTGTCGTAAAGTAGAAGCAATGGGGAGTGGTTCTAGCAGTGAAGATAATTTTGTAGCTTCAGCAACACCAGAATCCTTCGATGATATTGAAATTGAGAAAAGTGAAAAAGAGGAAATGAAATTACTACATAATTATCAAATGAAACTTGAAAAGATTGAAGGTTTCATCAAAAACATGCTCAATGAATTCCAATTTCATATTGAAGTATCTAAAATCTTCAACAGTCGGATTGAATCTAATCTACAGAAAAAGGATACTGCAAACATAGCCAAAGATTGTAGTGTACACATTTCACAAGTTCAAGGAATAAGTCCAACGGAGTCTTGGAGTTTTATAATGGAAAAAGAAGATGGAAAATTAAAAATCAAAGTGAAAGAGCAACTCGAATCCATAAAACATTCAATTGAGGAATTTATTAAGATTTATTTGGAAAATTATGATTTAGGTAGAAGAAAATGCAGGAAATATTTATCCACTTTTGATATCCACAAAGGCCAGCATTATGTTCCGAAACGTGTAAACATGAGTAATAAAAAGAAAATTAAACATTACGACTTCCCAGATTTAAGAGAAGCCATGATTAATTTATTCTATCCAGATTCTAAGAATACATCTATAAATATATCCACAAGCGATTCCGATGACTCCATGTCATCTAAATGCACATGTCAGTGTCATCGTCATACATCATCATTATCACATACAGATTCTGGGCTTACGAACAAAACTAGTGATGGATCTATATCAAACCAATCCATAACATCTTCTATTGGCAACTTTAGCTTAGACTCTACAACTTTAACAGCTTTCTCGGAGTCCCTAGACCAAATTGTTAGCTACAATAGTTTCCAAGATACAAGCCTGTATAATGTGATGCATCAAAAAGCTGCAATAGAAAGGATAACATTCTATGTGCAAGTCCACAGCATACAATTGAAATGTGATTCATCAGAACAAGATTTTGAGTCTAAAAATGTTATTACGTTCCACTGTCCATCCTGCAAGACAACTGAAAGTGATGAAAACAGTCTTCTAAAGCACATTTTAAGCCAAACTCACTGTGAAAAGATCCATTTTCAATACAAGACTGCATATATTAAGAAGTGTGTGTCAGCTGGAAAGGAGATTCAACCAAGCACAGTTTTAAACCCAATGAAGATGTACAGGGATGACAATAAAATTGTCTGCTTTGGAGACGCAATGTATGCTTGCTCGTTGTGCTTTGAAAATTTGATAATTGGAGAATCAGTGCTGATGGCGCACTGTGTGGAAAAAGAACATGTAGAGAGGCGTGAAAAACTTAGTGAATTATTAGAGTAAGTGCATGCTGGCATGTTTTAGAGTGTTGCCCCCTATTATAGGCTTCCCTCCCAAACTTTACAACATATCAAAAATATTTTGCAAAGGCTGTATTATTCATATTACATATAATTTAGAAAAAACTAATTTTCTTATTAGTTTTACACTATTACTTTGCTGTAAATTTATTTTTGTTTTAGTATTTTAAAAATAATTTTGACTGATTCAAATTAGAAGAACTTTTCTACTTAGTATAAAAATTTCTGACCTATATCATTTTTCTATTTCATCTTTCTATTTGATCTACATTTTCTCCATTTCTATCTTATGTTTGTATGTATCTATGTGTAGTGATATTATTACAAAAAATATTTCAAATACTGAAAGACATAAAATGCAATATAATCTGTGATGTTTACATATTTAGGTAATTTTAGGATAATAGTAGGAAACAAAAAAATAAGTCACTGATAGGGGTCAAAATTCATTATTAATTAAATTGCATACATATTAGCCTTAATAGCATGTTAGTTGTGGTAGATAAAATAGAAATTCTCATAAACAAAATTACTCTGTAAGAAAACTTATATTTTTATAAATAAAATGTATCCTTGCCATTAACTATGTATCTTGACTGTTTGGTGATATCTTTTATTAAGCGAAAAGATTGTAGAAAATTAGCAAACATTCTCAGATTTCTAAATTGATCTCACAGTAATTGTCTTTAGATATGCTAGTGTTTCTCAACCCTTTTTTAGTTGTATATTGCTTTATTGATGCATGGACGGGTGTAAAATTAGCCCATACAGTGGAAAAGGAAAGTAATTTGTTACCTATTCTCGGTCCCATTTTACTGTGTTCAATGCCTTTAAATTGAAATAGAATAAATATGAAATATCAGAGAGTTTTGCTCAAAATATTATATGTGGATCATTCCTTGTACATGTAATCCTTATTGAAGATCTTCATAAGATATTCCTAATTCCTATAATGCCAATTGCAAATTAAAATTCTCTATATATTGGACTTTATCATTATTTTTGACTGTTTCAAACATATGAGAGCAAGTTGCACATTCAGACATTGACATACTATTTTTGTATATGAATGTAGACAGTAATATAATATGTCAATGCATTCAGTACTAAATCTATAATCTGAGTCTTAAGCAACAACTTCTTTGTCTGTAATATTTATTGTTTAAAACACATGTTTTAACAAGTAACCATATAATAACTAAATAAAAAAAAGAAATCGAGTTTGGAAACACTGGCTAATTGTATTTATTTGTAAAGCCATTTTTGTATATCCATTTTTACTCATTATACAAAAGAAATATTTATATTTCGGTCACTTTTTGTGTTTCAAAAAAGCGACCAAATTCAATATTGTGATCATTTTAAATATACATTCTATTCAGGTGCTAGTTTGTTAATCTAATATCAAAAATATCAATCACTGCCATTTTGTAGTGTCGTTTGATGAAGAATCTGTGTTCAAACTTGTCCATTTTCCAATTTTAATATCTAGTTTAGTAAAATTAATTTACATTTTAATGCATTTTCCTCTTATGAAATTACATTAAATTATAGCCATAATCAAATATACAAGGGTTCCTTTAAATATATTGAAATTGGTTTTTAGTTGTGTGTTTAAAAAGCTTGCTTAAATTTATTTAATCTGTGGATCAAACATTTTCTTTTACTTTTACACTTCACCATTTTTTTAATAACATTTGAAATCCTAATTACTTGCAAATGTGTATTATTCATTAATTTTCTAATTAAAAGCAACATTTATTATTTTTTAAACATTTTTTTTTACTAATACATCTTCCATCAACTCAAGACCAACTTTCACTTCATTTATTTATTCACATTTGCAAGAAATTGTAGCATATTACGAAAATGTTGGCTTTTAATGTGAATTATTATTATTTAAAGAATTTAAAGAGCTTTAATTGTTAAAAAGAATGTGTGCACAATTTATATAAACAGGGTCGTATACAAAACATTTTACCATTTTCTACAAACAGTTTCTACATAGATCTTTTACTTTTTAAACTAAGGCCTGGGTAATACAGCGTTATGTCACACATTACTGCATTATTTTGTCGAGTGTGTCAACTCACTTCTGTGGAAACGCACAATGCATAACTCAGAACCCTAAAACGCTGCGTTTGTGACTTTTTTGTCATCAGGGCGGCTCCACTTAAAAATGAGGTGTAGGTAATATTTGGCAGATTTCATAGCATAAAGTTAATTTACAATTATTTTTTAAATTAATTTGATCAAAAATAAATAAACCAACCACAGATATTCATACAAGTAGAAAAATTAAAAAAAAAGAATTAAAATGTGAAACAAATCATTTAGGCATTGTTTTGCGTATTAATATGATACTCTAGATACTGATTAAGTTTTATTTAAAACTAACTTCTCAAATGACATTGTGTAACAAAAAACTTCACCTCTGCGTCAACTGGCGACATCTAGTGAGCGGAAAATTATAAGCCCTCATTACTAACGTTTCTGAAAATTTACATTAGCTTTAAAATCCCTCTTTAGTATCAACGTAAGTATCGCGTGCCAAAATCATCAGTGATTCATCAAGAGATATGATTTGAGTTGTAAATTAATTTAATTGCTTATTAAAACAAATTGTGTGTGAAGTTGTGTACATACATACGGAGTGAAATTTCTTTATGCACCATACATATCATTCTTCTTTTATTTTATATTTTACGTAAGTAAGGTAATTAATAGTATACTCATGTAGCCCCGGTGGTGGAACGCTACAAGAAAACGTGACGTTTTTGATTTTATTAATACCGTACTAAATTTTTTCACTACGTCGATAAAGAAGTTTCACGTCAAAAAACCAGAGAAATGTGATCAAACAAATTGCGATAGGGCTTTATTGCGTTCACTGCGTTATCACAGAAACGTGTATGCGTTATTGCCTACCCAAACCTAAGAATTTTAGCCTATTCATCCAGACCTGACTAGGCTTAAGTATGTATTGTATATTAAAGTTAGTTATAACATATTTAATCGCATTATTGGTGAGCTTAAGTAGTATAAGCATAATCTGTGACATTACATACTCGAATTACTCTCGATTTTTCTTTTATATTAGTTTTTTTTTAAAATTAAGTCTGTCGTTAACTTGAGTTTATTTATTTATTTATTTCGTTTACGAAGCTTGCGCTCAAAAATTTGATTTATATAATCAAAAATAAAAATAAAACTGCCTAATATATAAATGGCTACTATTAAATATTATTGGCTAAATTTATCTATCAGTCAGTAATGGAAATCTCAGATGTAGAAAATATTTTTGTAAAAGTTTCTAGACAGAAGATGTGAAGAAATAGGAATTGTTAATAAAACAATTTGCAGACATTTATAACTAGGAATGTATTTCTATTCTTATATGTAATCTAGCTTTAAATATAATTAGCTATACGTTTTGTATGTAATCAATATTTTTTCATTCTTCCTTGTGTACTCATATATTTAAGTATATTATAGGAATATTGGAAAAAAGAACTATGATCTCAAATGCCTTTTGATAAAATTACCTAACTAAATAAAGACTGATTTTTAGATGCAAGTTTCGCAATAAATTTTCCAGTGTTCAGAAATACGTAAGATTAGTAATCTTGATACAAGTCAAAAGGTAACTAGTCTAAAGGTAAAATATGTTGAAAAAGCCATGATTACTGTTAAAATATAATAAACCGCAAACCACAAGGCCTTATAACGATGTATTCATATCAGTATAATAACTGCCCTTTGCATTAGCTATATTATTATGTAATTAGTTTTAAATATCACGTAGGATTTGTAATCTTGGATGTAGATTTTAGTATAACTTTTTATAAACAATATTTTACTCTTTATAAATAAGCATAAAATATATAAAATTAAAAAAAAGTTACGCGCGAATAAGATGGGAATGACACCATTTTGTTTAAGTTACATGAGGCTAATTGATTTTACAGATATATTTTTCTAAAAAAACCTGTAATATAATCAGTGTTTGTGATCATTTCATAAATTACTAACCTCTGATAAAATCTATATTATTTTAAGACTAAGCTAAACAAAAGAATAAAACTATAATTGCTGTTCAACTTCGCATTGCGTGCGCTCATTTCAAGTGCGTCGTTTAGAGTTTGCAAAGAAATAAAATCTTTTTTTTTCGTGACTAGGAATTTAATATCTACTTTCAGTTTGCGCGCATTGTATACCTATGTATAGAACTTTTAAAAACCTTTGTATACAATTTATATATTTATATGTCCTTAAATGTAATTATTTTAAATACACAAACTAAAATATTAATATATTTTAGTTTGTGTATTTAAAATAATTACATTTAAGGACAACATGTTACCTATTCTTGTTTAATAGCTGCCTAATTTCACATAAAATAGCACATTTATTTAAAAATAGTCCTTGTTATTATCACGAAATCAATTTTTTGTTAAATCTAATACTTAATGTAAAATACGCACAATCCGTTTATTGTACTTAGTAAAACAGTTATATGGACAACCGATTTATGTATAATTTTTGCTAGGTAGATGAAATTTAGAAAAAATCCTCATTTTAGATAACTCCAATATCGATATTAATATTGCTGTCCAAAATTTGCAAACTTTAATTTGTTAAATAATTGTTAATTATGCTAGTATGTTTATATCCATGACATGCCGAGTTTTATCCCTTTTTACTATTTTACTGGGACCCGAGGTATTCCATTTTAGTCTTCAGGGGGTGACAACGCATCTGCATTTGATTCTTCGTCAAAGACAAATGTATGTCTATGGGTCACAGCGCCTAGACTGTGCTTGTTTTTCATTTTTATTCTATGAAAAAAAATTCTTATTTCGTTATGGACGGTATTATTTCATCCAAAGTTTAATAAAGTAAAAGTAGACTAGAACAAAATTCTTAAAATTGCTGTGTAATAAACTAGGAGTAGCTAGAAGGAGTTTGATCCATTCTTTGCCT